AAGAAGAATTAGTTACATCTTCAGCACACCGGTTGTGTGTTAGAGAGTACATCTACAACATTTACAATTTGCGTGCCGTGACGTTTCGCCAGTAATTACATCCAGCATCATCGGGCGATTTTGTTACAATTCTGGCTGGATGTAATTACCAGCGAAATGTCGTATTCAAATTGTAAATGTTGTGGATTTACCGTACTCTCCAACACACCAGTGGGCTGAAGTAGTAACTAATTGGCACTTTTTGTTTACGTGACAAACCTGACTGGCTGGGTCAGGTGGTAGGGGGGTTAACGATACAACATTTATAAACTTGATTTGAAGCTTTCGTGACTGCAGGAATTACTCTTTGGTTCTTTCGGTAAAGTCACGTAGAAAAAATATACATCAAATAATAGAATACGACGTTTCGATTGCAACACAAGCAACCGTCATCAGGTAGAACTGAATTTGAGAGAGAGACAAAACACAGACACGGAGACACACAGACAGACACAAGCAGAGAGAGACAACACAGAGACACAGAGAGAGGCACACAACATAGACACACAGAGACCCAAATGCCTCTGTGTCGAGGCCTTAAATAGAGAGAGGGTGGGGGGGGGCAGAGAGAGAGGTGGGTCTGCTGGGGCAGATGTTGGAGCAGAGAAATAAGCATGTCAGTGAAAGACCCAACAAGTCTTTTACATTTTAGAGAGAGTTGTGTGGAAATCCACCCCGAAGCGAAGGAAGGAGAGAAAGATCGAATGGACCGATGAGAGCCTGGTAAATTTTAGAGAAAGAAATAGGCAGGTTGAGAAGAAAAAAATTGCAAATTTTTGGGAAATGTAATGCAATGCAACAGAGAGAGTCGGCTAACACACAGTTAACGCATAGCCTGGTTGATTACGATCTCCAAATATTGCTAAAATTAGAAGTTAAGTGTGAAATTTGACAGAGACACACAGAGAGTTGTGTGGAAATCCACCCCGAAGCAGCCGGGGGAGAGAATGAACGAATGGACCTATGGGAGCCTGGTAAATTTTAGAGAGAGAAATAGGCCGTTTGAAAAAACAAACTTAGAAAATGTTTTGGAAATGTAATGCAATGCAACAACATTTATACTTATGCGATCTAACCCAAAAAAATATTCATCATGAATACTATTTGTCGCGAAAGCCTGCATGTCAAACAGTTGTACGAGCGCTCGCTTTGCCTGTCTGGAGCAAACTGTTTTGCTTTAACTTATAATCCGCAGTTATTCAAGAAAATATTACGAGTCAGGTGCAATTGCACAGGCTATCTAAACAACAGCGGCAGTCTCCGATGGGGTCTTTGCACAACAAAGTGACATATCAGACTCTGATAAGGCTTGTAGATAACGTATTGACATGACTCTCTCGTGGGGTCTTTACAGAACAGACTACAGGGACCTGAGTGGTGTGGCTCAGGGAGCTAATCGAGCACTTGAAGCGCTCACCCAGCACCAATAATACAAAAACGTAGATTCGAATCCAGGTGGCTCCCTGTGATGTTTTTTTTCTCGATTCCCAAGTGTAGCGAGTTGATGGTCTCTGGCAGGACGCCAATGAGTGTACAAAAATGAGAATCGGGATCTATTTGATTGCTCACTTAGTTCCTCTTATTTCTGCTCAATCTCCATGTAGTAATTATAATCACCTCTGTAGAAGAACGTGTGCAAAGCACCACCTCTTTATTAGAACACACAAGCAGTTCTTGCAACGTGACATTTATCTCTTAACGCAATGCTTCGCATCATTATCACCATCATCAATCCACTGCTGGATGAAGGTCTCTCTCATCTTGCAGTGCAATAATCCATCCAGCGCCTTCACGTGAACCGATCCCATCGCTCCATCTTCTCAGTGGACGTCCTCTCAAGACGTGTTTCATTCCTTGGATGCCACTCTGTTGCATGTACGTGTGTATGTAACTTCTTTCGCACCGTACGTAGCGAACCATGCTAATCGGAGGTGCGGAGGAGGACAACAAACTAAACACAAAAGGCAATTCTAAAGAAATTCGTTTTCAATCTGAGTGATTTCAAAGTGCATAGCTCCAGGGACTTTCAAATATCGGAAAGAAGAGTATTGCATATTGGCCACGGAAGCGCATCTGAAAGCGTGCGATGCGGTGCCCGTCTTTGTTCGATGGCCAGCCAAAAGCCACTGCGAGAATGAGCGGAGTTCGTGTGGTTCATGCTCCATGACGAGATCAGCAACGCATCCCGGTTCATTTTTCGCAAGCACTTTGGGAAAGATTGCCTCTACCATCGAATGCTGAAATCACTGCCAATTGCAACTTTGAGCAGGGGAAACGGTCATTATGAGCAGCAGCAGTATTTATTATAATATAGAACAATTTGAGAGGCATTGGCTAAACCGTGTTTGTTCGATGGCCAGCCCACCGTCCTCTTCTAGCCAGGAAGTGTCCTGCCCCAGCCCACTCACTTTTCTTCACATTTTGGGCGGCGTCGTTAACCTCCGTGTGTTCTCTAAACCCAAGTGTTCATCTTAACGGATGCCCTGCAATATCAACGGATATATCAGTCCCATGCCATGATGCAAAACAGCACAATTAGAATATACCCTCGACCCCCCCCCTCCCTTTTACTTTCTCATACACAGCGCCCTCCCTCCACCTTATGTTCAAACAGAAACGAAATGTTCTATCGGTGCGATTTCCCCATGTAAATTAGACAATAGATCCCCCCTCCATCAACCGGGACTCGTCGGGGTACATGGGGCCTGGTGGATATTCGCGCACAGTTGTTTTCGTCGCCCAGCATTCTTCAGCGGGCTTTTGTCCTTGTATACAGCCAAAAATCTAATGGAAAAAAAGAATATACACTCTGGAGGGAAATACAATTCACTGTCAACGACCTCTCTCTGCCTCTCGCGAGGTCTTTAGACAGCAGACTGAGAGACCAGCCTCTGTTGGTTGCATTTAAGACAACCCACGTGCAGACGAGCACAGCATCTTCTTAGCAACCTTTAAAGAAGAAAAAAACTCCTCAAACAAATGAATCGTCTCAATCTTGTCAATGTTTAAGCTGCCCTCCGAGTACCAGCGAGATAGATGCGAGTAATCAACGTTGCTCCTTACGTTTGGAGGGAGCAGACGTGAGTCCCCGGTGTCGGACTCGCATCGGCCGTCGTAAATAACACCGCCACTTAGCCAATACCCCCCCTCTCGGCCCTCGCCAAACTTAGCTTACCTTGGCTTTAAAAAAAAACATATCTTCCGCAGGTTTTTCGTGGAAAACGACGAGGCCGTTTTTGGGAAGTTGGACCAATTACTGAATTGTGAATTCGTTAAAATAACATGTAAAACATGCCTTTCATTTGTTTATTTTGGTTTATTTGCCAGAGATTATTTTTAGCAAAACTTTCTTTAACGTTAGATGGGAGTCGCACAGATTAAGGTCATCGTTAAAAGGAAGTTATCGGCTTCATTACTCGATGTCCTCTGAGGCCAGCAGCTGGATTCACAACTCAACAATCAACGTATAGTTGATACTAAATTAATATCCGTAATAAACGAAGGAAGTTTAATAATAACCCACGTTTTCTGTTTGACTTCAAATCAATGTCACGTGTTAAGAAAATGTGAACCGTAATCTTGCGTTATCCGAGGGTAATTATAATTTCACAACCACCGCCACTGCACAAGCTACAATGCCAGAATATCCATGCAGCTTATTCACATGTTCTAAATTTAAAGCTAATTTCTTTAGAACTGCACTCAACCCTCGCAGTGGCTTTTGGCGAGCAATCGAACAAAGACGGTCACTGTATCGCACGCGTTCAGATGCGCTTCCTTCCGATATTAGAAAGCCAATGGAGCTATGCACTTTAAAATCATCCAGATTTAAAACCACTACTTTGTTTAGAGCTGTTTAGTGTGTTGTCCTTCCCCCGCACCTCAGATCAGCACGGTCGGCAGCGTACGGCGCGAAATAAACTTTCAGCACACCGTACTTAAAAAAATACATTTCGCCGACTGAACAACGGCAGCCCAGGCAGCAGGAGCGATGGCTTGGTCACTTTTTCGTGGACGCACTTTGCCACTCTGCCACGCCGCAAAGACATCCGTGACGCGGCGGCGGTCGCGAGCACCTCGTGGGCTGCCCCCTGTGGAAGCTCCCCCCACGTGGCGCCCGATCCCGGCACGCCGTGCGTGCATCGTGCAGCGTGTGGAAGTGTGCACGTAGCCTGGCACAAGCACCGTGGTGGCGTCACCGCCACTTAGTGGCGAATGGCGGTTGTTGTTGCTGCTGATAGTAGTGTAGCGGTTAGCGTGCTGCGCTACGAACCCGGCGGACCCGAGTTTGATTTCCGTTCACGGCCAACACCAGTGATGAATATCTGAACTGGTACTGGGCCTCCCCTAGTTCGACTCAGCCTCGAATGAGTACCTGGTGTGGTGTGTAAACATTGCCACTGGGGAGACAAATGCGGCCGGCGTGGTGCTGGCCACCCACCCCCTCGTGTGCCGTTGCCGGCTTTCATAGGTGCTGCTCGATAACAGCACTTGCCCCAACAGTCTGTTACAGGCTACACGGGGGATCTTTGTGTGCGTTGGTGTGCGTGCGTGTGTGTGCGTGTGCGCGTGTGTGTGCGCGTGTATGTGTGCGCGCATGTGTGTGTGTGCGCGTTAGTGTAGCGGTTAGCGCGCTGCGCTATGAACCTGGCGACCCGGGTTCCATTCCCGCTCACGGCCAACACCAGTGACGATTATCTGAACCGGTCTCGGGCCTCCCCTAGGTCGACTCAGCCTCAAATGAGTACCTGGTGCGGTGTAAACATTTCCACTAGGGAGACAAAGGCGGTCGGGCGTGGTGCTGGCCACCCACCCCCTCGTGTACCGTTCCGGCCTTCATAGGTGCTCGCTAACAGCACTTGCCCCTACAGTCTGTTAAGGCTATATGGGGGATCTTTGTCTTTATCTTTGTGTGTGTGCGCGTGCGCGTGTGTGCGTCTCCATGTGGAGGAGGCACCCACCCGGGATGCCCTGCCGGTGAGACGGCGGCGACGCGTCCCCCGTGACGGCTGGGGGCTGGCTCTGCGCTCCGCCGCGCGCGTAGCTGGCTTCATCTGCGAACAAAGCAGCCGGAGCCGTGAGCACAGCGTCAACAACTGGTGGTTGTAGTCGCCAAGGGGGAGGCTGGGCGAAATAAAATCACGCGATGCGTGGGTTCTGCAACGCTTTCCCGTCGTACGTTTGCAATCGGAAGTATTTAATCGTACTCTTCCGTATGATTGATATACATGCAGAGCAACAACTACAATTTCAGTTGAACACGTAGTCGGCTTTCGCGACCAATATTATCCATAAAACAGGTTTTTGGGTTAGATCGCGTAAATATTAGTGTTGTTAAACCCGCCACCGCCTGACACAGTCAATTAGTAAGGTTTGTCACAAACAAAACATGCCAATTAGTTAGTAGTTCATAACACCGGTGTGTTGGAGAGTAAAGCCACAACATTTACAATTCGAGTATGACGTTTCGCCAGAAATTGCAATGAACATCATCAGGCGACAGCCAGAGTTGTGGATAAATCCTCCTCTTTCGGTCGACAATTTCACATTGAGGTGGTCAAGCCAGATAACCACGTCAGGAGCCAGCAGAGTGAATCATCACTGTGATGTCTCCTTCGTATTTGTGGATCGGGGCATTGCGTCGTTATACGTTGTACGGTCTGTTCTGGGATAACCGCAATCGCACACCACTGGAGAGTTTTCAATTTTCCATTTGTGCATCAGGTATCTGCATCTGCCATGGTTGGTACAGTGGATGCGGTTTAGGGTGGACCGTGAGCTTCGTGGAAGATCAAAACCGGGGATATTCTGCGTTGGGTCTTCAACAACTGGTGTTTGTGTATTTCATTGTCAATGATAATGGCGACGCCCGTGGCGGTCGTGTGGGAAGTGGAACGTCTACAGACCGTGACGGCCCATGGTGGCTTCAGAAGAGGATCTGCCAGGGAGGGCACAGGGGGCTTTCATCAAAGTGGCCGGTTTCCTCCGGTGGCGAGTTCCTCCTTTAAACTGAAGCTATTGCGTCATCTCCATTCCAGCGACATCTTGCCGTTTGATCGTATGATATCGCGCTTGCAACCCAAGCATGGAATATGGAGGACACTGAGGCAATCCTCGAAAAATATCTGAAGATTCTGGAAGATTACTTCAAGAATTGGCGCCTTAAGCCACACCCATCGAAGAGCGTCATCTCCGCCTTCCACCTGAACAACAGACAAGCTTCGAAAACGCTGAACGTAAACTTCTGCAGGGCGGTGCCAAGGCATAGGGAACACCCTCGGTATCTCGGAGTTACCCTGGATTGGATACTTAACTACCATCACCACCTCCAACAAGCTAAAGGTAAAACGAAAGCACGAGTGAATATTATTCAGAAACTTTCAGGAACAACCTGGGGAAGCGATGCCAGCGTGTTGAAGATGTAGTGTTGTAAAGACGAGTACACTTCTTAGGAGGCACACTGCGTATTGTAACTGTTCCTTACACAATCCTTAACACACAGAGGGATATTCGGTCCCCTCACCCGATACCCTAGGGAGGTACAGCCTCCTAGTTTGGCAGGACTTGCACATCTACCGCTAACCTCCTAGCTTGGCGGGACTTGCACGTCTACCGCTAACCTCCTTGATACCTAAGGAGGTACAGCCTCCGGACTTGGCGGGACTTACACGTCTACCGCTATCCTAGCCTAGAGTCCTCCGGCTTGGACCTAGGGGAGGCTATCTGACCCACCGCTGGCCCGGTGGGTCCTGACCACTGGGTATGCCGAGCCTTAGCCCTCAAAAGGGCTGGAAGGCTGGTCCAGGGTCCTGGCTAGTCTTCAGCCCGGTCTTCGGTCCTCGTGTAGGGACAGAACTCTCCGAGCTCTGTTGGGTCACCCTTCTTATACTCGTTCGTGGCCAGGTATAACCAATCACACATTCCCACGTGGAACTGGCTGATTGGTTCTCACTAAACTGTGGCTACGATCCATTTCACCTCGTCTGACCCCAACCGTTATGTACAGAGGGGTAACGCTGCACTGCCCCCTTGATACCTGGTGGCAATGCAGGTTACCCAACAGTGCGTGGTTAACACCTCTACAAAGATATCGACGCACGCCCTTGTTCACTCCACTGCAGAGTACTGTGCAAGCCCTCACACGAACCTTGTCGATGCCGAAATTAACAACGCGCTTCGTATCATCAGCGGTTCCCTAAAATCTACTCTGCTCCCGTGACTTCCGGTGCTGGCGAATATCGCTCCGACCAACATCCGACGTGATGATGCGACGACACGGGAGTACAACAAGATAATGAAAAACATCACTCTGCCTCTCCATCAATATCTAAAGGAACCCCCAAGCCCAAGGCCAAAATCCAGGAAACCGTTCTGGATACACGCCTCCGCTCTAGCAGACGAAAATAAAGACACCGCCACTCGGTGGCTCTGAATCGTGGGCGGCTATGGACGTGTCAAACAAAAACATAACTAACGATCCGACGGTGGAAGTACCGGGATTCTCTCTTCCACGATGACTATGGACCACACTGAACCGTGCTCGAACACAACACGGCAGATGCGCGTACACGTTCCATGAATGGAAGATCAAAGAAACGCCCAACTGCGACTGTGAAGTCCAAACCATCAAGCACATCACCGATGAGTGCTCCATCCATGCACATCCTAGCGGTATCGCCGATATCCACACTGCGTCAACCACATCATTGGACTGTATAAATAACCTTTGCCTTAATTTTAGATGATCATTAAGAAAAAATTAAACTGTTGCTTTTCACAATGCCATACGAAAGAAGAATTGCGTCATCTTGACGAACGTTATCGTGACCCCCTAAGTTACAGACATGGATAGCTGGGGGTGCTGATGCATTGATACTTTCAATCTTAGGCGGGCGCATTAATAACTTCAAATGCATCACCGTAAATGCAAATGGGGCATTTTTTTCCAGTATCAAAATTATGAAAAAATAAGAATAGGCTTTTCTATTTCTGGCAAGAAAACAGCTAGGTATTAAGATATTCACACACCAAATACATACCTATTTCAAGGCATCAAGTCTGCATTAATCACACATACTTGCGGCAAATCATGCAAACAAACATGCTCTGATAATGTATGCATCGTCTTTGAAACTGATTGGCCTACACCAGAGGCAGCCTTCTTTGTGGCCTTGTCTCACTACCAGTGTCAGACTAGATTAACGCCAAAAGGCGAACAGTACTAAGGCAATGCAAGTATCAAAGTATTAATAGCTAGGGTTGAGCAATTATATCTGTAGTGGAGTAACGCGCGTGGGGTTTTGCAAACAGTGTGCAGGCAACGTGTGAGCCGCAGACAGCGAGGTCACATCAGGGCGAACAGGTGCTGTGAGTGAAAGCAACACGAGAGAGACGACCAATTAAGATGCATAGCCGTGATTGGTAGGCTGCAAATGCAGGCGCGGAGGAGGCGCCTTGGAGTCTGCAGATTGAGACGATAGTAGCGGACACCGCGTGCGGGCGGCTACGGGATGACGCCAGCTTAATTAGGGCGTTTAATGATGAGGAGGATAAATATGGCAACGTGTGAGGCAGGAGTTGAGTTGGTCGGAGTGAAGAGAAGAGTGAGAAGTCCCGGGCCCCGCTCTCCACACCTCGTCCTCTCCAGCGGTGATGGCTGATCCCCAGGCAAGGGCGAGGTTGGAGAGGCGAGGGTAGACAGGCTAGCAGTAGAGAAGCTAGCGGAATCCTAAGTGTGAGTGCGCGAAGGCTAGCAGTAGAGAAGCTAGCAGAGTATATAACGAGAGGCTAGCAGTAGAGAGGCTAGCAGTGGAGAAGCTAGCAGAGTATATAGTGAGAGGCTAGCAGTGGAGAAGCTAGCAGAGTATATAGTGAGAGGCTAGCAGTGGAGAAGCTACTGGAGTGTATAGTAATAGGGTAGTAGTGGAGAGGCTAGGAGAGTGAGTGAGAGCAGGCTAGCAGTGGAGAGACTAGGAGAGAGAGTGGAGTGAGGCGAGCAACGCAAGCGGGAGAGTTGCGACGGAGTTGCGTGCCGTTGAACGCGAGGAGTTCTATTCGAATAAAAGTGACACAGGAGAACAATAAGTTGTCTGCGTGAAATAACGCCACTACACATCTAAGGGACCTATGTGGACAATAATAATACTGTAAAATACATTTTTCGGGCCAACCAGCCATTTGGTGCTGTTGCTGCATTGGCAGTTGGTTCCCAAGCACAAACAACGAAAATAAACTCAACGACGTTTTGCGAAATGGCCATTGAAGAAGGCCCAATGCCCGAAACATTGTAAATTATATATTTTTGCTCTTTAAGGCATTGTCAGTGACGAATGTGTCGTCCTTAATTTAGAAAAGGTTTTTTTTCGTATCTATCAATGACCGGCATCTTGTAATTTACAAATGAATATTAACTACCCTGAATACCTGTATTTTATAGATCACAAAATGGCATTCAAGTGGGAACTGATGTCGTTTTCTAAGCTTTCACAATAGCCCTTTAAAACAAAAAAGTGTGTACAAAAATGCTCAAAAGCGGCAAGAGGAAACCAGTTCACTGAGATTACAACATAGTAATCAGAAGAATAGTCTGGCAAAGATCCCCCGTATAACTAGTAGCAGCCTGTTGGGGCAAGTGCTGTTAGCGAGCACCTACAAAGGTCGGAAAGGGCACACAAGGGGGTGGGTGGCCAGCACCACGCCTGGCCATCTTTGTCTCCCCAGTGGCGATGTTTACACATTGCTCCAGGTACTCATTTGAGGCTGGCTCGACCTCGAGGAAGCCCAGGACCAGTTCAAAAATCGTCACCGTTGTTGGCCGTGAGCAGGAAACGAACTTGGGTCTCCCCGGGGTTCGTAGCGCAGCGTAGCGCTAACCACTACGCTACCGCTCCCCATAGAGCAAAAACGAGAAGATACTTTAAAAAATACATTGATCGCAGGGAGACAACGACAAACGCGTAAATGGTTAGAGTGTGACATCGTTTCTGATGGCCGACATTTATAATGACAAAACAATGTACGTAGAGGACGCGCGATTGGAGAACCACAAAAACAG